TTAAAGTGCACCTGATCTGTATTGCATTTTGATATTAATCTCTCTGTACAATGTTTTGCATGTAATTTATATGGTTCTTGGGAGAAAAAGCAACGGGAATGACTTGTCCGTGAGCTGCTTCTGAGAAACCAGGCTCTGAGCAGATGGAAGAGGGGGCGTGGCGGGGGGAAAGGGGGTACATATTAAAAAATGCAAAATTAATTAAAGGAGCGGGGCCGCAGGGTGATGGTTTCGATCAATAAAAGCTTTGGCTGTTGAGCAGAACCAGTGCGCGAGTGCGTGGGGGGCTAACGCGGAGCCGCGGCCGCCTCCGGGCGCCAGGGAAGAGGGATGGGAGGTGGAGAAGGGTGTTTGCACCATGATGGGGGGCTCTTGAGGCTGGAACTGGCCTGTGGGCCCCTTTTTTCCATGCAAAGGAGCTTTTCCAGGGCTGAATTTCTGGTGCCGCCTCAGCATGGAGGCCTCGCGGCCACCTCCATCTTGGCTCTGAGGTGCCACCAGTCTCCAGGCCGCCGTGGTAACTCCGCGTGGGAGCACATTGGGATGCTGGGAGCACACGGGTCCCTTGGGAATGCTCCCAATCCCGATCGGAATGGGTGGGTTGGATCTGCCTGCTTGGTGGCAGCAGGGTCGAGGCCACCTCTTGTCCCCTCCCCAGGTCTAGACACTGCAGCAAGACCTTGGGGCCATGGAGCCCCTTGAAGCCTCTAGCCCCACGAAGCCTCCTGCCCCAGCGAAAGCTCTGGGCGGACTCGAGCTGTCCAAAATGCAGAGATTTAAACCCAAAAATCCCAAGAGGGCAAGAGTCATGCTGTGTCTGCGGCACACAGATGGGAAGGGTTTTTTTTCCCCCGCAGTTTCCCTCCTTAGTGAACGGTTTTGTTCAGTGCTAGAGTAACTCAGGGCGCCCCTGGCAGCTGCAGGAGGAAGAGGAGGAGGAGAAAAGAGCCGCCCGCACAGCTTTGCCGGCCGCCCGCGCCCGCGCCCCTCCGCTTTGCTCGCGGCTCCCCCCCCCCCCGCGGGTATCGCGGC